AACCCTAGGAAGGCTCAGGGCACAGCAGGACAGGGGGCTCATAGCCACCTCAGTTGGCTACAGAGACCCCTCCACTGAGAGTCACCTCTTCTGGGTCCGAAACTGTCGGAAGAGCCACTGGACGATGAAGGGCCACAGGAGGAAGAAGAGCAGCGTGGGACCCGAGAGCCTGAGGGGCCATGGCCGGGCACCGGGCGGGGTCCTCTGCTGCCGAGAGGGAGGGAGTCAGGGGCCGGCCCAGGCTTCGGCACAGACCGGGCAATTCCTTAGGAACCTGCTTCCCGAGCTAAGTGGGAGTTGTGCCTCCCTAAGATCACAAGAACTGAGACAGGGAAGGCCCTACCCCTGAATCTGCACCACTAGAAAGGAAAGGCTCCTGGGGTTCCCAGTGTGTCCCTGACAGCTGACCTCCAGTGCCCTCCCGCATCCTCCTCTGAGGGCAATCCCAGGTGCCAAGGGGCCTGTAGGGGCTGCGCGGTGGAGAGAATGGCTTCTAGGCTGTTTCTACTGGGCCACAAAGCAGTGGCCCCGTTGGTGTGGCCTGAACACCCAATATTATAAAGGATGTGCCATATATTTCAAATGGTGCTCAGAGTTTAGCTTCTAAATCTCATTCTCTGCTGAAAGGAGCCAGGGCTCCTTGGAGAAGTGGCGAATTCCAGGTCCCGAGCAGGGAAGGCAGAGGTGAATGTGGGACATTTTGTACCAGAAAACAAGGAAACTTTTAAAGATTAATGAGGTCATGTTATAAGAACATAGGACCCCGCTTGAAAGGGTCTCCATTGACCAAAATTGTGCCAGTCTAAGCATCACAAAGAATAATTTCAGTTGATTGAGAGACTGAATCTTTAAAATCCATTAGTCCATAATGATACTCAGAGAAAGTTGGAAATTTGTCACTGTTGAGGTGGCTGTTCAATCAACTCCTTACTTTAAGATAGGTAATTAAACAGAATGAATTAAGCACTCATTCTGCCTTTCCATAAGGCGCTGTACTTCAGGGAAATCCTAGATGAAACTCTACAGTAAAGTGTCACCCTAATAAATGTTAAAAGAATAAGAGAATTTAAAAGTCAATGTTTCTTTTTTCCAAATAAATTATTGATCCAGGCAGGGCTTATCCATTAATTGTCAAAAATCACGTGGCAAATGGGGTCACGGGGAGCAGGACATGCCCTGGCTGGCAAGAGGAAAACACGACCTAACAGTAGGGAGATCGGACCGGCCCTCCTCCTTCATCCATGCCAGTGGTCCGTGCTAGAATCATTAACTGTGGGACATCCAGATATGTGTCCCCTGATGTGCAGAACATCACATGTGACATAATCTGGTCATGTAAACGAGCCAGGAGGATGTAATCAGAGAGACCTGAAGGGAACCTTCTCCTGGACCACTGGCCCAGTCTCAGTAAGCCAGTAGCAAGGAGAAAGCACCGGTCTAGATTAAAGGAGTCTTAAAGGACGGAGAAGCCACACGCAGCACATGTGCCTGGACTGGACAGACAGAGCAGCTGGAAAAGGCAATTTCGGGACAGCTGGGGAGATTTCGATTTGGATTGGGGATGTGACGATACGAAGTGTGTGCTAAAATATTGTCCTCTCGGGCTAGGTAGTGGAATGTTCTTATTTTTAGAGATGGAAAACCAGCTATTTCAGGGTGGAAATCACAATCTTCAGCATATAAAATGAGTTAGAAGTAAAATAAATAAATAAAGCCTTGCGGGGGGTGGGCGTTGAAAGATGGGTCTGAGGAAATTCCTGCCACCCTGGCTGACACCCACTGTGTCAAGGGGATTCAGGGTCACCCAGGTGATCCCCCAAGTCCAGCAATTTAGCTGTTTCCTGCCCCCACCACCCCAGGCTTCTCAAGAACAGACCTACTCCGTCAATGGGGAGTCCCAGCTTTGGAGGGAGACAGACCTGAGGCTGCTCTCAGCTCCGTCACTGGATGTGAATAATAATAATAATAGTAATTGGAGAAGTGCGGTGGACATTGCCTCATCTAAGCCTCACAGCAGCTCTGTGAGGTTCCTCTGGGCTGTGTGCCCTCAGGTGAATTACCCAGCCTCTCAGACACTTGGTTTCCTCTTCTGGAAAAGGGAAATGAAAAGCAAAACTAGTTCCTGGGGCTGTGCGGATTAAATGAGATAATGAAGTACGCGTTTGTTTGGCACTCAGTTGGGGCTCAGAGACTGGTGGCAGCGACTGATGCTGCAGGAGCTCAGGAGCAGAGGTGTGAGGGCCAAGCGGATCTAGGAGTAGAGGGGAGGGAGGGAGGGGCACGAGGGCTGAGTCATTTGGGAGCAAACCCTAAATCTGGCAACAGGCCCCCCCCCAGCCCCAGTGCAAAGAGCAGGCACGTCCTGGCCTTCCAAACTGTTGGAATTAGTGCTCATGTTCAGTTTCTATTCCGGCAAGAGCAGGAAAGGAGGGCCTCCCCCATTCTCCCTTCCAGGGTGGAAGCACTTCAGTCCCCCCGACTGCCCTGCCTGCAACGAGAACCACACCACTCTGAAGAAGGCAGAGGTGTGGGCAGGTGGGGAGTTAGGACGAAAGACAGAAGTGGCTCCACGAGGAGCCCAGAACAGAGAGCCTTGGAGTTCTGTCTCTATCTTGCCCTGGGCCTTGGGGGCAGCTCACCTGCTCGACGACGCTGGGCAGGCTCTCCAGGTTCTGCAGTCTACCCTGGACATCCCGCATGCTCTCCTGCAGCGCCCGAACTGTCCCCACCAGCCACGTGTCCAATTCCTGGGGCCCCAGCGGGCTGCCCTCTGCAGAGCACAGACACACAGGGAAGGGGACTCAGGAGGCAACTCAGCTAGGGACAGGGTGGTGGCAGGCTGGGGCAGGTCTGGGCAAAAGTAATAGTAGATAGAGGGCGATCCCTGGTACCAACTGTGATTTCTATAAAATCCATCCATGTGGCTGAGTAATGGGCTGCCAGGGGTTTGAATCCCAGCACCGCCACTCAGCTGTGTGACTTTGGCCAAGTCAGAAGCTTCTCTGAGCCTCATTTTTGTCTCCTGAAAGTTAGGGGGAAATGTCATTGCCTTCACAGGGCTGCTTACTCAGAGGAATAAAGAAGATAATATTTATGAAAGTGCCCTTAAGGGACACGGCACGTACGGAAATCCTAGAAGGGGATTGGACCGAAATCATTGTCCTTTGACAGTCCCCAATGGGAGGCCTACAAAGATGGGGCCGGGCAGGGACTTTGCCCATCCAGGCTGGTGTCTGGCTGTCTGGCAAGTGCCCGGTGCTGGACTTTCACCTCTGCCCCAAGAGGGCAGTCAGGGGAAAGCCTGGGGGCACCAGAATCACAGGGAATGGCGGAAGCGGGTGAAGGGTCAGACGAGGGCTCACCTTTCTCTGCGGGGAGCAGGGAGCTGTTTCTGGTGTCAGGCTCTCCTCCAGGGGCTCCCTTCTGCTCTGTCCAGACCTGCTGAGAGGAGTCACAAGATCCAAGGGTGGGAGTAGGGCAGCCAGGGCACAGTGGGGTGGGGAAGGCAGGGAATGAGGGGTAGTCTCACCAGCTCAGGTTCCAGCTGCTCCAGGGAATCACAGAAAACCTCGGAGTCCAGGTCCCTAGGTGGCTGGGACTCTGGGGAGGGGATAGGTGACACTGGTGACAAGACGGGGGCTATGGAAAAAGGCGAGGGGGTGTTCAAGGAGTAAAGGCACCTGCTCTGGGAACACGAGAGATACTGCCGTGGGAGGCATAGATGGGTCCCAGAAGTGAGGTCCTGGAACCAGAGTCTCAGAACCTGCCCCCTGGCCATTGCAAGCACAGGAGGTCTCAGTGTCTGTGGGCATGAATGAGGTGTGCCATCCAGCCTTCTCCCCTTACCCACCCCACTGGAAGCTCCCCACCCACCCTCTGGCTTTGGCTGTCTGTCCCTCCCCCCAGGCACTGACCTGGATTTGGGAGTGCTGGTTCCCTGGGGGGGCAGGGAAGCTCTGGGGCAGCCCTGGCGTCTCCATTCAGTGCCTGCTCTTTCCAACCTGCTGAGACACGGCACCCAGAGGTGGGGCTGGGAAGAGGCTGGAGCTTCCCAGTGAGATCAGCCCCTGCTCCTCATGAGCCATGGGCTCTGCCTGAGACCCACTCCATCAGGGGCGCTGGTTGGAGTGTCTACAGGGACATCACCTGGAGCCCTCTACCCCCAAATCCGCCTCCACCTGAGCAGCCCCCTCCGCCTGGACCTAAGAAGGTTCACTCAGCACTTGTGGAGCTCCCAACCTGGGGGCCTGACCTGTGACCCTTCTCAGGAAGGTTTCCGGGGGCCTCGGCATATCAGGGATCACCTGGTACAGGGGCTCGAAGTAAGCAAACATGTCCTCTGCCACCTCGCCCAGGGGCACTGTGTCGATCACCTGTGGGGCAGGGTGTCTATTGGAGAGGGGCCTGCACCTCCTTCCACTGTCCTCCTATCCCACTTGAACTGGGTCCCCTCCATCCTGTGCCCAGTCAGGGACCAGAGACAAGCAGGGTTAGAGAGATGGCATGTAGGTAGTAATTCCCACAGGGGTGTCAATGTGCAGGAAACCTAATGGGGGTCAGCCCTGGAAGGGTAGAAGATAGGCCACCTAGCTGGGACCTTGGGGACAGAAAGAAGCCTGCAGCCTCTCCCTACCTTCTGTGCCACCAGCTTCATCTCAGTGATGTAGGCAGACATGGCCTCCTCCCTGCTCATCTTGCCCAGGCTGTTCCAGGCATCCCTGGGGGGCAGAGCGCTGTGAGAGGCTGGTTGACAGCTGAGGCTTGTTTGCCCGGTGGGTAGGGGGCTCACCACTTATATCGTCCTATTGGGTCCCAGAACCCAGGCCGGGGGACGAGGCAGGGCCCCATGGTAGCTTGCTTGTAGTAGCTATAGAATCTCAGCATCTCTTCGTAGGAGGGGCGGTAAGAGCCTGGGCAGGGGGTGGGGAAGTGGAAGGCAGAGCATCACCCCCAGCTCCAAGAGAGTGGAAGTGGGGGGAGAACCACCCACCCTTGGAATGGACAGAGATGGTGAGGGTCCCACTCAGCTGGACTGGGACAGGAGGCAGAGGAGATCCCCAGGGCAGCCCAGGCAGGGACTTATCGGCAAAAACTGCAAGGATCAGAGCCTCCTGGGAAACCCCAGGCAAACCCCAATCTTCTTGACCCCCAAGTGCAGGTCCCAGCGCCCTCACCATTCTTAGGCAGGTTCTGAATGACACTGACTGCGGCCTGGAACTGTTTCTGGCAGTCCTGTTCTGGGCTTTCATTCTCGGTACCCATACCGCGCGCCTCTGAACCTTGGGGACCTACTGTTGAGCGACTCTACAAGAACAAGCTTCCGTATGAGCAGACCTCCACGGTCCACCCTGGCACACACCTCTGTAAGCCACTGGTCCACTTTCCAGAGGGGAAAACTAAGCTCTACATCCGAGTCAGGTGCCCCGGGAGGTCAGAAGCTGCAGCTGAGACTCCTTTTCCTACCCCAGGGCAGCACGGGTGGGGGCCAAGGCGGGCGGATAGGACCTCGGTGGGTGGGTGGAGGCAGGTGCCAAGAGCCGCTGTCCCTCTCTAGACGCACATTTCCAACTCCTAGACCGGAGAATGGGCAAGCCAAGAGGAGTCAGGGCGGGGCCAACACTCTCCCACCTTGGTCCTCCACTCCTTCTGCCCTGGGGTCCCCCACCCCAGCCGCCCGGCCATCCGGCACTCACCCTGCAGCGCCTAATACGCGGACTAAGGTCCCGGTCTCGCCACTAGCCGGAGGCTTCCGACTGACCTCCGGGCCCAATCTGACCGGGATGTGGACGCAGGGGGGGAAATTTAGGCCAATGAGAGGGCTCGTTTCAGCTTCTGCTTCTATACCTCAACCACTCAGCATGGCCCTTTCAAGGTTATGCAAATAGTTTAGCTGCGGCTCTCCCAATCAGTAGAGGCGAATCCGCCAGCCTGCTCCCCAACCTTGGAGGACCAGAGGCGGGAGGCAGCGCCCCCTGGTGGACCTAGTAAAATAGCGCGGAGTCCTCGCGCCCCCTGGTGGAAACCTGCGTCTGTCCTCCGAACCCAGGTCCTGCAAATCTGAGCAACCCAATTCAGCTCCTTAGATCCGCCCTCCCCTCCCCGCCCCGCCAGGCTCTGGGGATAAAAAAAAAAAAAAAAAAAAAAAAAAAAAAAAAAAGGAGTTATGTCCTGGAGGAAGAGCGGGTTCTGGAGGGGTTCTGGAGGAGGGACATTGGAGCTGAGTTTTGGAACACGTAATTGTAAACCAGGAGAAGAATGAGAAAGGTGTTTCCTGAAGGAAGGAATTGCAGGATCAAAAGTACAGAAAGAATATCCAGAAAGGGGTGGGTATCCAAACCAGTATGCCAGATCTCTGGGTCAAGGATATCTGAGAATGGGCTAGAGCAAGTAGGTGGCAAATCTAGGTCCTGAGAAACTAAGCTTTCTCTTTGAGATGCCACGCTCTTGGCCGCCGCCGAGTGGCGGTGTGCGCCCGGCTCTCCGCACCCAATTTAGGGTAATTGCGGCAGACAACGCTAAAATGATTAGTCTCCTGCCATCCCACCCTTCGAGTACAAATATTCTGATGGTTTCACATATAGTAAGTGAACACATGAAACGGTCACCAGGACCCACACTCGACGCTCACCCACGGGTTGATGTCACGGACATCTACACAGGGTGCGGCGGCCGTCCGGGGCAATCGAACGCCCACTGGGACGCTAATGCTTTCAAACCTCGAACCCAGAACCGGAGTTCTGCCGGGGATTCTAATGACTTAGTGCCACCCCATCTCCCCCAGACCAGTCAGCTTTGAGACCGAGGGGCTGGCACCTGATGCCGAGAGGGTTAATCCAATGACATCACAGCCAGAGCCTTCCTACCCCCAACCACCACCTCCCGCTCTCCCACCCCTCCATTTGGGGCTGCCCTCCTGCTTGGCTCAGCTCTTGGGGTTCTCTCGGCTTTCCGGGCCGGTCCGAGGACCCTTGGCCCAGGACGAGCCGCCCCGCAGATTTGGCCCCCAGTCTGGCTCCCTTCTGAGGCCTCCTGCGGGACGGGGAAGGGGAAGGTGAAGAGGGAGGGGTCCTGAGTCCACATCGAGTCAGGGTGCAGAGAAAGGAGAGTGTGCCAGAAGGCAATCCTCGCCTCCTCCGCCGCCCCCTCCCCCCAACAGGGGCTCCCGTCATCTGTGCGGCCGGGATCCGAGGATTTGGGAGGAGAATGGGGAGGCGGACTCAAGAGCCGGGGGCTCGGGCAGGGAGAGGGGACGCGAGCCGG